TGGGGGTGCTATTCACGGGACGGTGGGGGGCCATGTAGCACTCTTATCCCTAGAGAATGTCTGCAGAAGGTGCCAGCCCAGGGCCAGAAGCAGGCGGCTGTCACCGTCAGCAGCACCACAAACCAGGGCTCAGGCTGCCAGAAAGGCTCCGTGCGGGTCACAAGCAGGGGCGTCATCGCCGGAGGCACCTGAAATGGGGGCACAGCCGCACCCTGTCCTGCCCGAAGCCCTGGTCACCCGCCTTCGAGCCCCTCAAGGCTTGCCCCCCCCCCCCGACACACCCCAGGTTTGCTCTCTGGTCCTGCTCTGTGCACCAGCGGTTCCCTCTGGAATGCCTTCCCCCAGGCTCCGCCCGGAAGACTGGGTCTCCTCACCCACCAAGAGCCTCTCTCCCACCCGCACGGGCCCGGGGCCCCCTCACTGTGGCTCTGCTGGTGCTGGTGGCCACGGTGCTGGCCCTCCAGGGAACCAGGTGCACAATGACCGTCGCTGTGGTGCTGAGGTGGGGGGTGGAGGGACCTGCATCGGCCACGCGGATCAAGAGCTCATAGGTCTGGGGCTGCTCTGGCGGGGGGGCCCCCAACAGGCGGTCGTCATGCAGCAGGGCGGCTCCTTGCAGGCGGAATCGGCCCTGACTATTCCCTGAAAGCAGTGGCAGGAGGAGGGGACCATTGCTGGCCTTGCCTGCTCCTCTCCCACATCCTGGCGCCCCCGGGCCTCACCTCCCACGAGGCTGTAGGAGAAGGCCTGGCGCTGTGGCTCCTGTGGCACCCGACATGACAGCTTGGTCACCTCCATGCCGCCGCCCGGGGAAGGGTGGATGGTGAGTTCCTGGAACGGGGGCTCGCACTCGGGGGCGTGGTCATTCACGTCCTGCAGGCAGGTGGCCAGGTCACCTCTCCCCAGAGCCCCCGGCCCGCCCTCAGCCTCCTCCCGCCACAGATAGAGCCTGGGTATCAGGCAACAGGCCACAAAGCTTTCCCCACAAGTCTCCCCAAACCCCCCCAAGCCAACCAGTGGAAGAAACTGAGGCACAGAGTGAAAACTGAGGGTGCCAGAGGGAGACCCGAACCCTCTCGTTCTCCCCAGGGCCTCGGGGCTCGCTCACCTCCACCTCAATGGCCACAGTGCAGGAGCCGGAGCGGGGCTGAGCCGGGCCCGGGCCTTGGCTGTGGTCGGTCACCAGGACGGCGAGCCTGTGCAGCCTCTGCTGCTCATAGTCCAGCGGCCCCAGGAGGCGAACCTCGCCTGGAAGGGGTGACCGTGCTCAGCCTGCAGCCCGCTCTGCCTCCGCCCTGCACCCCAGCCCGCGAGGAGGTACCGCTGAGCCGGTCCACAGCAAAGGTGGCAGGCCCGCCGGGGGTGTGGTACTCAATGCTGCCGTGCGGGTAGTCCGTGTCCGTGCCCACCACGGAGCCCAGCAGTGTGCGGGGCCCTGCATCCTCTCGGACCCGGAATGTTCGGGGGACACAGGTCGGGGAGAACTCGTTGATGGGGGTCACCATCACCAGTACTGGCACCTCAGCTGGAGGCCATTAAGCAGTCAGGGCGCTGGCCTGGGAAGGGCTGGGGGAGACCTGTCCCTGCCCCAGGGGTGGGGGAGTGGGGGGGTGTCTAAGGAGAGAGAGGCGTCTGGTGGGAGGGAGCGCTAAGAGAGGAGAGATAT